TTTGGGATTTATTTAATTTTGGAAAAGGGAATTTTAAAATTGAAAAGGAAAAAGAAAGAAATAAGAAGGTTTAGATATGGGCCAAATTTCCCAGCCCAAACGAAATTACCCATTCAAATCAGCCCAAACTCATGTCCAACCCGGTCCGGTTCTCCCCCAGTACCAAACGACGTCGTTGCAGCTCCTTTCATCTGGACCGTTGATATTGCCTGATCCAACGGATCAGAACTGGGGGGAGGTTTAATATATATATGTCCAAACACTACCCTACCTCCGGTCTCATCCTCCTAACACACCCCAGAAAATCCCTCGTCGCCTCCGCCCTGAACCACCCACCGGAAATCGTCTCCGCTGGCGGCATTGGTCCAATTGCTGTCAGATTAACACCATAGATTCCCCTCCTTCTCCTCTTTCCAAACCTCCAAATACCCACCCTCAAATCCTAACCTAGCCTCTCGAATCTTGAATCAAAGGAATGACCAAAACCCTAAACGTCTCCAACCCCAACCAGATTCACACCAAACAACCACTCCACTCTCCTCTTGCCAAAGCTCCATTCAGTTTCCATCGAACATCATCATAGCCATTCGAATTTCAGATCAGAGGTTGAATCATAAAAGCCCCAAAGTTGAAAACCGAGGTTCCATGAAAGATTTTAGGCCCAAATCGAGGTTATTCGTGTGTCTTTGATATTAAGGACACATGATTAACTTCGGATTGGGTCAAAATCAAAGAGTTACAAGTTCTCCATTATTTCTGTCCGATGCTCTCTCTTTAGGTAATTTTCTTTCAGTTTTCTTTTCTCTTTTCTTTTCTTTCTCCCACTGTTCTCTTCTGTTATTCCCTTCTGTCCGTCCGTTTTTGCATGTCTCGTCTTAGTTTTGTTTTGAAACTAGCCTCCATTTCTCGTTTGTTTTTTAATTCTTCAGTTTTAGTTTTTTTCCCTTATTATAAAATTGTGGGCTGAAAGGGGATTTTTAGCCCGAGTTCTATGAATTGAAGTATGTTTGACTGTTTGATATATTTGGTCATTTGAGTTAGTAAATTAACTTTGAGTCCAAAAGAAAGGGGGTCAGCCCAGGTTCAACTTAGCCCACATTTTGGTCTGAGGGTTAGAAGGTGAATAACAAGGGGTTTAAGGGTTAGTTTGGGAAATTTAGGGTAGGGGAATCTTATGTAACAACTTTAAGGAGCTTCCAGGAAATGAGATGAGGGACTGTGTTTGAAATTCTGATAGTTGATTAGGGGTATTTTAGCTAAAACGAAAATTGGAAGAGGGGGAAGGAGGTAAGTGCAAGTCAGATTCTCTTAGGGATGCCTTAATGCTTTGCCTATAAAGGCATCTCTATCTTGCATTTCAAGGGGGAGTTCAGAGATAAGAGGAGAAAAATTTAGAAAAATAAAAAACAACTAAAATTTCATAAAAAATCACTGTTCCATTGAAATTCTTCTGTGATTTCTGAGGTTCTCAATTTCTGAAACATTTTTTGACTCATCTGGGGAAAAAATGGACTGAATTTGGGTTTTAAAAGTCTGGTTTGAAGTTTGCTGTGGTTATTGCTCGATTGAAACTGGATTCTGGACTGTTGTGCATCATTTTTCTGTCTGAAAATTGGTTCTGCTGTTGTTGCTTCTTCTAGCTCTCTCACCTATTTTTCCTTGTTTCATTGCTACCATCAGGTACACATTCTTGTACTATACTAGATGCAAAGCAAGTTTGAAGTATGAAATGAAAATGGATGTTCAAAGCATGACATTAAATTCTCTGTTTATAATCTAGTTGTCTTTCTTTGAATTGCATGGTGTTACTTCCAGATTCATAGTATTTCTTAATCGTTCCATAGTTTAATCTTTGAATTCCTGCCATTGTATTTAACCTTGGGCTGTTGAGATATGGATTTGATTTAGTTGAACAATATGTGAGTTGTATGGTAGCGTTTGATTCCAGGTTAATTTTATGGTCATTTGTTATATTCTGGGTTCAAATGGCTTCAGAGTCTATTGTTTGGCTTGTGAGAAACAAGGGTGAAAGCATTAAGTGTCTGATGCTGGGAGTTCTGTTGAAAAACTTTAAAGCTTAATGCAACTGCTTGAGAGCTATTTTTGGATTGTATTTACCCATGTTAAAGTCAGTACTTGAATTCTGCCTCCCTGTCATCAGTATTTGAATGCATGAATGATATTTGCTTTAGACTTGTGATTTAACTCTGTGATATCGGGAGCCTATTTCCCCCAATGAGTATATTATTTACTTTTAGCTTGGGACTGTTAAATTCATTTGGGAAACCAGAACCGTTTGAGCATGAGTGTAGGGTTGTTTGTAAATGGGAGTTATCATATATTGCATGAGCTTAATATCGTTAGTCTAGTTACTGAACTTTTCTTTTAGCTGCAGGCTCTTCTTTTGATTTGGGCTTTATGTTGAGCCCAATTACATTCTCGTGTCCTGATCAAACTATTGGCAATTGGTTGTTAGGCACATAGCTAGCCTATCTTTTAACAATCAAACGTGGGTTCCGCTTCTAATAATACTTTAGCTTTCAAATTGCAAAGTAGTTTTGTTTGAAATTAAATCAGAAGTTCAAGTAGTCTTTTAATAAATTAACTGGATCATTAAGGTGATTTCGAAGTGAATCATATTACGCGAGTTATAATAGTGGCCTTCCATAGTTAGTTCAAGTTCTTAAATGCATGTCCCTCTACTAATTTCTTATGATTTAGATATAAAATAACAAATGTTCGCAGTTTGCTTTAGGCCCGTTTAATATACCACCGTGATTGCGGACACGTTCGCGTGACATGATTACGATTTCTAAAAACAAAATCGGAGTATATGTTCGCGTAACTTCGGCTAAACTTTCTTAATAATAAACAAGAGTTATTAATTATGAACATGTTCGCGTGACATTATTTTTGACGCGCCAAAGGAAAAGAGTATATGTACGCGTAACTCAATTCTTTAACTACGAATAATCAGATTTAAAAGCGGTTAATAGATAAAAGCACATAGGTTCCGAAATCAGTAATTAGACAATTTAGCCAAGCCAAGTATAATCAAAGCGATCGTGCTAGAACCACGGAGCTCGGGAGTGCCTAACACCTTCTCCCGGGTTAACAGAATTCCTTACCCGAATTTCTGTGTTCGCAGACATTAATACAGAGTCATTCTTTCCTCGATTAGGGATTTGAACCGGTGACTTGGGACACCATAAATCTCCCAAGTGGCGACTTTGATTTTTAATAAACAAACGATCCCATTTCGATTGTCCTTTAATTGGAAAAACTCTCTTGTATTTATGCCCTTTACGGGGTGTGGGTAAAAAGGAGGTGTGACAATGATGATCAGTAAACACCTCACAAGACACACCATACAAGTAATGACTCCAAATCTTCAGCACGTGAACTATGGCAGTCAACTCTAAATCATGAACGGGGTAGTTCTTCTCATGGGGCTTCAACTGACGAGAAGCATAAACGATAACTCTACCCTCCTGCATCAATACACAACCAATACCAACTCTCGAAGCATCACAATACATGGTATATGAACCTGAAGCTAATGTCAAAACTAACACGGGAGTTGTGGTCAAAGCTGTCTTGAGCTTCTGGAAGCTCTCCTCACACTCATCAGACCATACAAATAAAGCACCCTTCTGAGTCAACTTGGTCAAGGGCGATGCGATAGATAAGAATCCCTGAACAAACCGGCGATAATAGCCTGCCAAACCAAGAAAGCTGCGAATCTCTATGGATGAGGACGGTTTGGGCCAACTCTGAACCGCCTCTATCTTCTTCGGATCAACCTGAATAACCTCAGTGGACACCACGTGCCCCAAGAAAGCCATTGAAATAAGCCAAAACTCACACTTGGAGAATTTTGCATAAAGTTTCTCCTCCCTCAATATCTGCAACACAACTCTGAAATGCTTTGTGTGCTCCTCCTGACTACGTGAATACACCAGAATATCATCAATAAAGACTATGACAAATGAGTCGAGATAAGGCCGGAACACGCTGTTCATCAAATGCATGAACGTTGCTGGGGCATTGGTCAGCCCAAAAGACATCACCAAGAACTCATAATGACCATATCGGGTCCTGAAAGTCGTCTTAAGAATATCCGAGTCCCTACTCTTCAACTGGTGATAACCTGAACGGAGATCAATCTTGGAGAACACTCTCGCTCCCTGAAGTTGGTCGAATAAATCATCAATGTGAGGCAAAGGATACTTGTTCTTAACTGTTACCTTGTTCAATTGCGTACAATCAATGCACATACTCATAGTGCCATCCTTCTTCTTCATAAATAGAACCGGTGCACCCCAAGGTTACACACTAGGCCGAATGAACCCCTTTTCAAGGAGTTCTTGAAGCTACTCCTTTAACTCCTTCAACTCCGTTGGTGCCATACGATACGTCAAAATACAAATGGTCTGAGTGCCCAACACTAGGTCAATACCAAAATCAATATCCCTGTCTAGTGGCATGCCCGACATTGAGTATTCTTAAGTCTAAAACAGGTAGTTCTTCGCTTCTTCTTCTTCTTCATTAACAAGTGGAGTTCATTTTCTCGGTTGATTATAAACATTGAGTACATTGAGTATGACTAGATTTATTTCATCATTGAGATGAATGTTACCAAGATGTAATGAAATCTAAAAGTGCATGTATTGTGATTGAAAAATATTAATCTGCTTCTGCAACTTAATTATATGGAATGTGGTTAGTTTTTGTCTATTTTTTGGTGTAATACTTGGGGTCGTATTCAATTCTGGAATATCTCATGTAATTATAATCCTGGGATCTCGATTGAGATTAACTATCTTACCTCCTATATAGGATAACTAATATCACCATTTTGGTATAGAAATTATATTATAGTATTAATAATCCACAATCAAATATGCGATTTCAAGTTTGGTAGTGTTTATGATTATAAATGGCTTTTGTTGTATGTATTTATTGCTTCATAGTTAATATTCTCTAGTCTAATAATAGAGAACTGATATTTTCTCTTTATATTTTGAAATGTTCATCAGCTGCACTTGAAAGTTAATACTTTTCTATGGATAAATCTTGGACGAGAAAGCCAAGCAACACCACAGAATATTTATTTGGTTTAAATCAGTCTTTAGATTTTGCATTTGCTTCATTTCAACGCACAGGACAGACAACTCCTTGCATTCAACCAACTCCTTTTCAGGCGGCATCACTACCAACTCCTTCATTTCAATGCAGAAGACAACAAACCGCTTCATTTCAGGCCACAACACTGCCAACTCCTTCATTTCAGGCCACGGGACAGACAACTCCTTCATTTCAACCTCCAATTAATCCCACACCAGCACAAGCAACATCCAATAAGTGTGCTAAACGTGAATCTTCACATCATTGGACTATCGATGGAATAGGTAATCATTATCCTTTTGCTGATGTATAGGACTTTAGAGTCTAATTGTGGCTCTTGGCATATCTGTTGAATTTTGTCTGATATTTCTGGTGATTTCTACTTCCATTAAGTAAAAGAGTTCATTTTCCCATGGGGTGAGAGTGTATCTATTTGCACTTGTTGGTAGACACAGCTTGTTTATTAAGACCCTGAAACATCACCTGTAAATTAAATGCCCTCTAAACCTTTCATCATTACTGTTCAATCCAGTACTGAGAAAGTTCAGTAGCTTTCTAGTTCCAAATATTCTTGCTAAACTAGTGAGCTCTGGAATGCCATTTTATGTTGCTAATTCATGACAGATGTTTCTTAGCATGTAATGTGTTCAATATATTGTAAATTTTCAGTTATTGGATTATTATCACTTGATATCTCTTGATGAAACTACCGCTACTGTTTGTTGTTGTGTTATCTGAAGTTGATTTTGTTACGAGGATGATGTTTTCTACTGATAGGAGATTCTGATTCCAAATGGGCTTGAGCTCTACCTGAAAGTGAATCAGTATTCTCTTCTTCTCTTGATTTTGAGTTTTTCTATATGTAAATGTAAAGATAAAGCCAAGAAAAAATATTTAAGTGCTTTGCATAATCATCACTACTGATTGCAAAAATATTTAAGTACTCGCTTCTTACCTTCACTTTTTTGCTTTTATTTTTATTTATTAAAGATTCACATGGAGATACCAAAAGGCTCAAATTGAAGACTAGAGAAGCATTAAGTTTACCTCAGGGAGAACGTGTTGTGGTGGAGTTTGATTGCTTGGATCCAATTGGCGAAGCACAAGGCCTTCTTGCAGGCGTATGTGGCTTTATTTTTGTTTTCATACATAGATGGCTGAGATAGGGAGTAAGTCTAGACGAGCACAACTTTATCTTGCTACATATACGAAAAAAGATGGATCATATGTAAATGAGGAGGCAAAAGAAATATGTGTAAGTTACTACTTTGAGAATTCTAAGAATTAGCGCATTTTTAAATTCTTTCTCTTTACTCCAACTGCATCAGTTAGAGCTTCCTCAACCTCATATCCTTGTTTTGGCTTGGCTTGATCACCCTGCAGAAATATTAGCTCCCTCAAAATCTGCTTTTGTCAATTCCTTCAGTCATATGAGGCTGAGGGATAACATTGCCCCCTCCTTTTTTTTTGTTTCGGATAACATTGTTTAACTTCTTAAAAACTGGTCATGCATGGTTTATATGTAGTCACATTTTTTTCCCTTCTATTTATTCAATCTCATAATGAGTTTTTGTTGATCCAACCTGGAATGCATCCTCACGATTTTTCTCAAGAATGCAGCCATGATTAACCATTGTCTCAAGTCCCATCTAGTGTAGATAAGTCAATTTTGGTTTACCTCGGTCTTTTTGGCTCTTAAGACATTGCTGTTCTTTTGTGTTTGACTTTTTTTTTTACCTTGAACGATTTACGTGACTTAAAACTTGTTATTGGATAAGTTGTCTTGAATCGATTTACGTTGAGTTGGTCACACCATCCATGAGTTTTTGACACTCCACATCTATTACATTTTTCCTCCAGTCGGTTTAGTACATGTTATTTGCATTGGTTTGGATTAATGTTTACATGCAATTCTTAATTCTAGTTAATAGATTTTTTTGATGTGTATTGTGTTTAGGACAAAATTGAGCTAGCACTGAGTGAAAGTACAGTGGATGAGTCTGAAATTTCTCCAAATGATGCTGTTGGTAAGGTGCTAGACAAAGAGCATCCTGGAAGGGTGAGATGTTTGGGATTAGGAGCTACTCCAAGCAATACTTTCAGAGAGACAAATCTTCGTCCTGGTAATATTAGAATTGTGAGTAATAATGTTAGATGTTCATCTTCTGGATGCCAAAAGAAGTACAATCAATTGATGAATACTCTCAAAGCATACATGATAATGAAGGAAGGGTCAATACCAGAACAATTTGCTGGGATCTTTGCTTCTATTCCTACAACGGTAAATGCTAAGTTCTTTTATTTTTGGTGCATTGTGCAATTTTATTTTGTCTCGTGTTTTATCCGAACACATTCACATGCACACACACATTATTTTCATCTGCAATGGACAGTTGTAAAGTAGAGAATTTGCTAGTTGAATAGGCGTAGGTGCAGGAAACTGGGATGAATGGAAAATAGGAATATACCAGAAACCAAGTAGCTCATTAATCCAGACACTAGTTGTGTAGTCCCAGTTTGCAATATGTTCATACCATAATCTCTAATTTCGCATTCCCCTTTCCATGTTTTCACCTTCATAGGCATTTGAGGTTTCAAATTCTTTGTATTTTTTCAATCTTTTCAGTAAGAAACCAAGAAAACTATTTACTCTTTCTATTATCAATGTTATAATGAGTATTTTAAGAGCTCCAAAAAATTCTTGGCAACCAGTGATGACTTGTTTTCTGAAAATCCTCTTAATACTTGTATTTTTTTTACTTTTTGCTGCAGCCAAGTGATGCAGCTAGTGGACCCGTTTCACCGACGGATGCAAGAAGATGCAATAATAATCCCAGTGACAACCATTGAGATTCATTTTAATTGAAGTGGATGTATTAAGACAATGTAATAGCTGACTAATATAGACGGTTAACTATGTTCTAATTTAGCTTGATGACATATGATACTACTCTGTCATGGTATTTTTCACGGTAAATGAAATGTTGATATTTCTTAATTTTAATGTTTTGGTTTAAGCATAAATATTTAAATTGATATTAGGGAAAGGGTATGGTATATATATTTAAAAGTAGATGGGGATAATTAAAACCCCCAAAGAGAAATTGAGCAGCTCCTATGGTGTACACATAAGAAATGTAAACCCCCACACTAAAAAAAAAAACAATTTTAAAAATACAAATCTACTTTCGCGCATTAAATTTCGGAGGTTAAAATTGCAGTTTGCGGAGGTTACTAACCTCCTCTATTTGCTGTCACGGCGGTTTAGGAAAGCCCCGTATTTATCTGCCGCAAATTAATAGTGGCGATGCTTACTGGGGGGGGGGGACTGCTTAACCGCCGTGACAGCAATTAGCGGAGGTTACTAACCTCCGCAAACTGCAATTTTAACCTCCGCAATCTACCCGTTTTTTTTAGTGGATTATGCTAATTAAAAGCCTTTAAAGGAGTTGAAATTGAGGATTTCGAGACTTGAAAGTTTACATTCAATTTCTTATTTTTGAAAAACAAAATTGAAGAATATTATAATAAATTAAGAAATCTATGTTCAACCGCGTCGCAAATATATTTCACGAGCGGGGTAAATTTTCACTACTCTCATGGGAGCAGGCCGCTCGTATGAGTAGGTTAATAGATGCATCTATGGTTCATGTCTTTCGACCCTTGGCAGTGCACAGTTTATATTTATATGTTGGATCGGGTCATACAACCTCAACATGACTGGCGCATAATAACTCTTTAGAACTAATAATAATTGACATTGCTCTTATGGCTTGAGATATAATTTGTAAAATGATAAAAACAAATTTGAGAATTTCTATTAGTAAAAAGAATTGTTGATTAATTCTGGTTGTTGAATTTTCAGCTATGTTATGTTTTACATGCTTAAATATAATATCACTATTTTATTGCTATCCCATAGTAATTGTCGGAGTCGACCCCTCGTCGCTACGCTTTCGAGATTAGACTGAATACTAACTAGGTACACATTGATTTATGTAATTATACTATATTTGCTGCACATTTTTGTGCAGGTACATATATGTCTAGTGGCCTTGTGAGAGCAGATGTATGGTTAATTCGGGGAATTAGGGGATTTAGTGACTTTGTATTTTATTTTACTTTCAAGTTGAAGCTTATGCACTTGTGATATCGGGTTTTGAGGTGATTATGAGTTCTTCAGTATTGAAATTGTTAAAATATTTTTATTTACTCTGTAATTCCATGTTTTACTATTAAATTGAAGGAAATCGTGAATTCAAATACTAAATAAATAATTAAGTTAAATAATTATTGTTGGCCTGCCTGACAGCGATGTTAGGTGTCATCACGATCTTTAATGGATTTTGGGTCGTGAGATGACACCTACTAGACTAGATAACCTAGACAAGTATAAGTGCAGAACTAACGGAGTACGATATCTCTACAGAGCTACACACATTTACAATAATAGTACAATGCTTACTATAAGAAATAAAAGCAACAATTAATAGTGGTACACAACAAGTAATAACATAGTAGAGAGCTAAGTAAAGTTTCAATCCAATGAAAACAATAAAGAAAGGCCAAGTATCAATTCGACAAGAATAACTACTTCCATATGTGATGACCCAAGAGGCCATCACTTGTTTTAAAAATGAAATTCTGTGTTCCGAGGCCTTAAAGACCTCTTTTAGCATCACCTCAATTTGCGGGCTCAGTCTGGGCGCGTAACCAAAAAGCCAATATGTAAAAATCTGTGAAAAATAATAAATTTTGACTATAAAATGAGTTAATTTGAATTCGGTCAACGTTTTGGATAAACAGATCTGGACCCATGAATTGACGGTTTCGGAGGGTTCGTAGAAAAATATGGAACTTGGGCATATGCCCGGAATCGAATTCCAAGGTCCCGAGCCCGAGAAATGAATTTTTTTAAAGAAAATTATTTTCTGAAATTGTTTAAAGGAATTTGAAATGAAATTTGATTAGAACATGATGGTATCGGGTCCGTATTTTGGTTATGACGTCCGGTATAGGTGTTATATGTGTTTTAAGACGATCCTGTGAAATTTAGTGAAAAACGGATGTCATTTGACGTGATTCGGAACTAAATTGCTAAAATTTTGATGTTTTAAGAAGTTTGAGGAAATTCTTTGATTTTTAGGTTTAATTCGATGTTCATGATATTATTTTGGTGATTTGATTGCACGGATGAGACTGTAGGATATTTTTGAGGTTGTGTGTATATTTGGTTTGACGCCCGAGAGCTCAGGTGAGTTTTGGATAGGTGTCGGAGTGCTTTAGACTTAGAAAATTTTGGTTTTTCTGCTGTTGCTGGTGTCCAGTTATTTTGTTCTATGTGATCACATCGGAAGGCCCTCGATCGCATAGTGTAAACTTCAGGGGTCCTGTTTTGTGCTACGTGATCACATAGTTCCTTCCGCGATCGCATAGTTCATGCGTGTAGCTCTCTAAGGAAATTACCCCGCACGCGAAACATACATGTGACACGGGTGCACGTAGATACACGCATTCAAATAGTCAATCAAGAATTCATCAGGGGGACATTTATCCAAGGAAAAGTCAAATTCTCTTTTAACGATTAAGAAAAATGAAGCTTAACCTTTTTAGAAATTCATTTACTAATTCGATATGATTTAAGCAGTTTAAATTGTCAATAAGGTTACAAACATTTCAAGTATAGAATACTTTTGGGTCCTAGACTACCTGGACATAAGTAAAATAGTAGCTACGCACGGACTCTCGTCACCTCGTGCATACATAGCCCCCACAAATAGTAGCATAGAATTATTTATTTCACCTATGGGGACAATTCCCTCTTACAAGATTAGAAAAGAGACTTACCTCGCTCCGAAGTTCCTTAATAGTCTTCCAAGCCCTTCCGACGACTCAAACCGATGCTCAACACTCCAAATCTAGAGAACAATTATGCAAACCCATTAATATACACTCGAGTACTCGTTATAATCCAATTTATAACAATTTCTAACCCCGATCAAAAAGTCAATGAAAATCGCTCTCGGACCCACGTGCCTAGATTCAAAAAATTTCTATGATATACATTATTCATAACCTCATGAACTAAAATATATACTTTAATCCAAATTCAAAGCCCAAATTCGTGGCCAGAATTAAAAATACAATTTCTAGGTTCTCTATCAAAAACCCACAATTTTCACTATTTTCCATATTTAAATCCTTATAGAAGCCATGCATTTAACTTATAATGAGTGGGAACAGCCTATCTTGTGATGCTTGAAGAATATTTCCCCTGGAAGCTCTTCAAAATCACCCATACCAAATGAAAATGGGAGAAAAATGGGCCAAGACCCGTTTTTGTAAAACCCTTCTCCCAACGACATTTCCACACCTGTAGTCCAGTTGCCGCACCTACGACTTTATAGGTGCAAGGCTCCCTTCGTTTCTACGATTATACCAGATGCCAACAACTACAATTTTTTTTAACTCTAAATTTAATCCGTTAACCATCTGGAATCTACTCGAGGCCCCCGGGACCTTGTCCAATCATACAAACCAGTTCTAAAATATAATGCGGACCTGTTCGAAGCCTCAAATCACATCAAACAACGTTGAAATCATGAATCACACTCCAATTCAAACTTGATGAACTTTAGAACTTTGAACTTCTTCATTCAATGCCGAAACCTATCAAATCTCATCCGATTAACCTTAAATTTTGCACACAAGTAGTATTTGACATTGCTGACCTACTCCAACTTTCGGAATCGGATTCCAAAATGACTTACAGACCTCCGAATTTAATTCCAATTGTACTCTCACCACCAGAAGCTATTCCCAGACTCGGAATCCCAAACAGCCATCAATAACACTGAAATGCACTACAACCCAATCTTATGAAATTCTTCCAAAAATGCTAACTTCCACAATAGGCGCCGAAACGATCCCGGGTACTCCAAAACCCGATCCGGACATACACCCAAGTCCAAAACCTGTTGAAACCTTCAAATCCCGATTCCGAGGTCGATTACTCAAAAATTCAATCCTTGTTAATTCTTCCAACTAAAAGCTTCCGAAATGAGAATTCTCTTTCCAAATCAACTCTGAACTTCCCGAAATTCAATTCTGATCATGCATACAAGTCATAATACTTGAATTGAAGCTGCTCATAGCCTCAAATCGCTGAACGACGTGCTAGGTCTCAAAACTACCATTCGGGTCGTTACATTAGGGGTGACTAACTACGTGTATAGTGTTTCAAGTGTTCTATCACAATTCAGGCCAATTAGTAAGAGTGGAAACAATAAATGACACATAACAAACGATCACCACGAAATGTACATGATATAACTCACACAAGGTAGGCACGCTACTAGATGTCTTCAACACATATAAGTGGGCTTGTATTTTGCAGCGTTAACGGCAATTTAGATGTCTTCAACGGACTCAGCCCCCAAGTTTTTCCTAGTAAGTTTTTAAATTTGTACGTAGGCCTATTATAATACCAAAAAGGAACTCTCCTCAATAGAATAAAAAATTAGCCCTTTATATACATTCAACCCTATGAAAGAAGTCGTAAGTGGCGTTATTAGCCTATGATATAGGAGTATATATACATCCATTATTCCTTTCATAACAATGAGTGCGGATGGTATAAATATACAGTAATTTAGGCCGAATGAATCCTACACTCGCAGTCATAAGATGTATATAGTCCTGTCATAAAAAGTTTCTGCATGTTAAACTGTATGATCATGTCATCTAAAAGTCTAAAAAGTGTGAGATAATAATTTTTATATTCATAAATAATTATACTTTCATCATGTCCGCTAACATGCAAGGTTGCGCTAACTGCGTAAATAATATCAATATCATTTAACTTTGCAGATGCATCAATGCAGTTGCGGTGTGGAGCAACAAATGTGATATCAAGTACAATAGCAAATGGATCAGGAGCATTTTCCTTGGTGGTGAATACTTTCC